CCTCCTACAGTTATGCCCTAAAGTCGTCAAACACCCTGTATACACACACACACACACACATATATATATATACAGTAGGTTCGCTGAAATTAATAAAATACACATAATATATTTGCAGAATCTCCTTTTCAAGATAGACAAGCGACACAAGTTCAGCCCCCTTCAAGAAAGATGATAGGAGAAGTGACATGAACCTACTTGGTTTATAAATTTTAACTTAAGCAACAAAGTTTAAAAACTTTAAAAATTGTAATACCAGGAAAGCTGCTGTGTGATTGTGAAAAAATTGGATTTTGTGTATATTGTGTATTTCAGGCATTGTGTGTGTATGTAATTTAGCACTCAGAACACATATTGTGATAGCAGTTTCCAAATAAGTATTGATGTTCCCTCTGAAGATGATCCGTAAGGATTGAAACATGTAAGGGTGCTAAGTTTTCAAGTAGTAAAACTTAAATGGTCACACTGGACGGAGTTGTTTTGTCTTTGTGATTAAAATGTGTTTAAATGAAATGTATATTAAAATCCATATAGGTAAACATGTCTGATAACTTTCCTATCCAAAATGGTCTAAACCAAGGAGATGCTTAATGGTCACAGCTTTTTAATTTTGCTTTAGTATATGCCATTAGGAAGGTCTAGGAAAACCATGTGGGACTGAAATTAAATGGGACACATCAGCTGCTGTTCTATGCTGATGATGTGAATCAACTGGGAGATAACACAGATACCACAAAGAAAGATATTTTAATTGGTACTAGTAAGGAGGTTGGTCTAGAAGTAAACGCAGAGAGAACTAGGTATATATTGCTACCTATATATTGCACAGTGAACAAGTATACAGTGCAGTGGTCTCCCCAAAAGAAAAGATATTACCTGATGATGGCCCATATGGCTGAAACATGTCATAAAACTGGAATATATATATGACTAAAGACATTTTAGAACATTGGATAATCACTTTTAGTGTATAGAATATGCTTTTAATGTCCTACTGACATGTAATCGTTTTAACAAAATCAAAAAGTACTAAAATACATTTTTAGTATGAAACATATTCCTAATGTCTTAAATTGTTGCATTATTGACAGATACTTTGATAATAAGGATGATGCCTCAATGCAATGGGATGCTAAAATATAACAGTAAGAAAGCAAAATTTGATTCAGAAGGAAATTAAGGGGAGACTGAATTCAGGTAATGCTTGCTACCATTCAGTCCAGAACCTTCTGTCTTTTCATCTACTGTCGAAAAATGTAACAATTAGAATATACAAAACTATAACTTTGCCAGTGGTTCTGTATAAGTGTGAAACTTGGTCTCTGATATTAAGGGAGCAACACAGACTGAGGGTGTTTCAGAAGAGTGAGCTGAGGACCAAAGAGTGATGAAGTGACACGAGGTTGGAGAGAACTGCATAATGAGAAACTTCATAACTTCTAACCTTAGCCAAGTATAATTACCATAACCAAGAAGAGGATGATATTAATATGGATCTTAGAGATAGGATGGGGTGGTATGGATTTGATTGATCTGACTCAAGATAGGAACCAGTGGAGGGTTCATGTGAACATGGTACTGAACCTCTGAGTTCCATACAATGTTGGAAAATTCTTTGGTAGCTGCACATTGGACGGCTTCTCGAGAAGGGATATTCTTCATGGAGTTAATTAAGCTCAATTCAGTAATCCAATTTGAAAGTGCAGTGCAAAATTATAAGCAGTAGTACCAAAAGTGTTCTAGATAAGTTGAAATGGTAAATAATTGCATATAAAACCAAAATTCTGAATCATGTAATGCTTATCAACAAACTGTAGAGTTCTGTATTCTGATTTTACTATTTTATCCTGGTGAAGGCTATTTCTCAGTAGTCGCCACTTAAAAGCCCTTGTTTATAACAAATTCTCACGCATTACTTCTTAGCATATACAATATGAAATGATTGGAAATGACTTACATACCCCTTTTTGCATAACAGCAATGAAACCTACCTTCGCTCTTCACGTCTTGCCATTTCTCCTAAAGGATACACATTTGTTCTTTCAGGCTTCCCTTTCCTTCTCTTCTTTGACTCACAATTTTCTTCTTGGCTGTCACTATTCTGTCGCCTTTTCTTACTGAAGTTTCCACCTCTGTGCATTGGTTTTCGAAACGCTGTATCCATTCTTACTTCACTGAGAGTTCTGAAATTAAATTGGGTTAGAATACATTTCATAATTTGTTACAATTTAGCTCTAACTACAGATTTTAAATATGTAGAAAATATTAAAATGTCACTGAAAAATACAGGTTCGAAGATTCCGCAGAAATATATCACAATACTTTCTTATGTCAATATAAATATTCACCACGACATGTACCGGAACGGATAATCAAACAAATAGTAATAACAGCAGCATACATTCTCTTTGGGCGAGGGCACACCAAGGAAACTGGCAACCGCAACGCGACCGCAATTTCCGTGAAATGTCGCCGATTTCACACAGGCAACTGGTTTCCAGCTTAACTGCCGCGCACTGAGGAAACTTATGTTTGATTACACATAACATCATCTTAAGTGGGTGTGTTCGTCCGACGTAATGCATGATTTTTAACTTTGCGCACTTACCTTCTGCAATGGAAGACAGTAATACTGATCCTGTCATAATATGGTGGTAGTTGAGACCGGTTGAGACGGCGTGAGAAGAGAGGACGACGACCATGAGGAAAATATTTCGATGTTAATTAATTTGTTTTAACTAAGGTCAATTTACTTTAATCAGGAAATATCGTGTCCACACGCAATATGAAAATTTGACATACAGTGCAACAATTTTAGCAAGATAGAAGACACTTGATGATGGCCGTATACAGCCAATACATGTAATGTGAAAGAAAGGTGAGTATATAATATGTTGCATTTGAGAAGGAAATATATGTGAAATACACGATATATTAATACACCGGGATGCTTAAATACAATATTAGGAAAGAAAACATTGGGTGCATCCGTTCTTCTGTGACAATTTAGACTGAGGTGTTTATATTGTTTCGAAAGAACTTAACTTGGATCCAGACTCCTTCCTCTCATGAGAAATTCTTTCCCATGCCAAATCTATTTTGTCCGTAGCATAGTCTGAGTGGCGTTTGTCATATATACCAGGCTCTTGCTCAACTAACTGCACAAAAACAAAATTAGCAGTTTCATCAATATTTCGTGCCGTCTTAAAAAACAAATGAATTATTGGAAGGCGTTATAGAACAGCTGACAATAGGCGTCCGCGCGAAAACGCGATTGTGAGTAGCCGAGCATGCTCCGTCGTTTGGAAGTTGAGTTTCTCAATCTTTCCGCGAGTTGCGTTGCAGTTTCCTTTTTTTGCGCTGCTCCAATCAGTAACATGTGTTCAACTCAGGTTGATAACAATTCTCAGAAATTGCGTTTGCGTTGTGGTTGCCAGTTTCCTTGGTGTGCTCTTGTGAGTAAAGTTGTCCCTGAACTTAAATAATTAAGCACTACGCCATGAAGGCGTATATGAAAGTGGCTGTACAGATTCACATTTTCTTGACTTCGGCACTAGTTGGAGGTGAGTGTAACACGCATTTTTTATCATTCGTACGACATCTCTTCAAGAAGCAGAGGATAGCTCTCAGTCAGTGTTACCTTATTGGGAAACTTAATAGAGCAACGTTTATCAACATGTGGTCCGCGATGATGTGACAGGTGGTCCGAAGGCAGACTTAAATTAAATTAAATTAAAAATCATCCAACCAAAACAAATTAAAATTAAATAAGCAAGTAAAAATTAATTATATCGTATTCTTTATTTCTTTAATAAAGCTTGAAACTTCGTTCAATGATGATTCGCTCCTGATAGTTTACTTCTAATTTAATTAATTATGTTTCCGTATGTATTCAAAACATGTTTTTAGATTTATTATGCTACAAATGGCACAGTATGTCCCAAATTTTGGTAATACCACATAGGTTTAAAAAATAGGCCTACAGAACCTAGTGGTCCGTAGAATTTTTTCAGACATTTTACTGGTCCTTGGGCTTAACAAGGTTGAGAAACACTGGAATAGNGTTATGTAAAACGATCTGAACAGTTCTAGATCCTGGTTAAGTTTTTTTAAAACAATCTAATCACATGAGTTTTGAATTGTCGCGGAAGAACGGATGCATCCAATATTTTATTTCCTCCTGTCTTCTCCTCTTACGCCATATCAACCACCACCATATTATCACAGAATCAATATTATTATCTGACATTGCAGGAAAGAGGTACATGAAATTGGCGGACAAACACACCCACTTGAGTTGATGTGAGCAACTAATCAAACGTAAGTTTTCTCATTCCGCGTCCGCTAATCTGGAAACCAGTTGCCTGCTTGAAATCGACGATAGTTCTCGGAAATTACGTTTGCGTTGTTGCTGCCAGTTTCCTTGGTGTGCCCTCGCACTAAGAGTATTTAAAATATTGTAGCAAATATTTCAGGGAGATCAGCAAAAATTGATTGGCTGAACCCCTTGTAAAACTGGCAGTGCCAACTGATCAAGTTGCATATAATTCTCATGATGGGGGTTGCAATTTTATGCGTGTTATATCACAACAAACACATAATCCACCAAGGAGGACTGACAAAATAATTTATTTCTTCCTTTACTTTTTTTTTTTTCTATTTCTCCATAAAATTTTTCCTATCCTTTCATTTATCCATCCTGTCCTAAGTCATCTCCTCCTTTCTTCCTTCTTCTCCTCCACACTAAATCAGTTCCCTCGCCACTGTTCTTCCGTTCCTCTTTCCTTCCGGTATTCCTTTCCATCCCTTACATTTTCCCCTCTTGTTGTTACTCCTCCTCCTTCCATATTTCGTAACAGATAAATAAGCCTATGGCTGGAAATCGGAACTTTTATTGAAATCTCCTCATATCAAGTTTCAAGAAAAATCTGTCCAGCGGTTTAGAGGATAATAGGTGACAGGCACAGACACACATATATACAGGATGTTTCACGACTTTAGGGAATAACTGCAGAAGGTGATTTCCTAGGTCTCTGTGATCAAAAAAGTTCATATAAACATGTGCCCGATTTTGGACGGTTACGGAGTTATGACCGTTTTTTCATTCCCCTACACGCCCTCGTGTGAACCGCGTCTGTCAGCTGTCGGGTCGCTATCTTTAGCCAGCTACAGGCAGAGCGTTCTCGTTATCTCGACACTTGAGATGTAGTACCTAAGGTGGGGAGGGTTGGTATATTCGGCGCGGTTCACAACCGAGCGGCAACCTGTGTTGCGGCCGGAGGTGGCATTTTCGAAAATCAGCTTTAAGCACCAATAAATTCAAATTAAAGGAAATTTCACGAAGTTAACTTTACAGTCATACTTTAAATGTATCATGTATTATGCTGGTTTATTATTTTGTTCCGTTTATTGTCAGTAATCGTTACCTTCTATTCTGAGTTTAAAACGGTCATAACTCCGTAACCGTCCAAAATCTGACACATGTTTATATGAACTTTTTTGATCACAAAGACATAGGAAATCACTTCCTGCAGTTATGCCCTAAAGTCGTGAAACACCCTGTATAAATTGTAATGTGTTTTTTTGCCATTGAGGACGCCGTTCGGATTGTTAATTGGTTTATTTAACAACCTACAAGTCTCGGCTACAATTAATTACAACAATGTTACGGGTTCACACACTTTACAAACCCTACACACACACACACACTATTCACTCTATCTTCAGTAGTCTACACGTATTCACAGTACGGGAGCTATTCCACTGTCACTGTGACACACACTCCCAATTACTTCTCTTGTGAGCCAAGCATCTGCTTCTCACGCTATCACTTCTAATCGCACGTTCCGGTATTCTTCTTTCCGCTACAACGGCTAGATTCCAACTGTCTTCGTAGGCAGTGTAGTTCTCTTATAAACCCTCAGCCTGACTACGGGAAAACGCATTGTTTCCTTGTTGCCTAGTCGCCTGTTCACCGGTGTTGCTGGGCAGCACTGTCTAGAGTTGTTTCCTGCTGTGCAGTAACCGCGACATCCCTTGGTCACGTCACCACGGGAGGTGGCGGGGTGTTGACTGGCCTATACCGTAGCAACGGCAACGCTCCGAAAGTGTTACGTTACCGCTGGCGGGTTAGGGGAAGGAGTGTTGACTTGCCTGTTACCGTAGTAACGACAGCGCTCCGTTGCCACGCCACCGCTGGGGAGGAAGGGGTGTGTTCTCCATAGCGCAACACGTCACAATATATATATGCCTGTCACCTATTATTCTCTAAACAGCTGGAATTCGCCCCTTTCAAAGTTGTCTTAAAATGTAAGCAAGATGAGGGCATCATGTGGAAGTTTTATATATACATTTTAAGACAACTTTGAAAGGGGCGAATTCCTCAGTAGAGCACTTTGGTTTTTATTCCGACTTATACTTTTAAAATGGTTCCTAGATATGTAGATACTCTGGAGAAGTTTCTCCTGGAAGAAGACTGTGACATTAGCCATATATGTGTGTGTTTATACATACACACGCGTAGTATAAACTTGATTTCGCGTAGCTTGTATATAACGAAATCTCTGGATTGCCTGCAGTCCGCAGAGGATTTGAAGCATATACCTACTGAATACATGACATGAACTGAATACCGCTGAATACTACATACTCCATGGTATCGAATGTGAAATATTTAAGAAGACGAAGAATGAATGGCGGAGGGAAAAAAGAAGGAGAAGAAAAGAAACAAGAGAGAATTACATTAAGCTACTTAAGGTAATTCGTTTGGGTCACTCCATCAAACAGAGCTAAACACGTTTGTAGTTAAATGTTACATGAATTTCTTCATGGGAGATTTCCTGAAACCTGTTTCTCACGTTGCAACGTCCTGGGACAGCTCTGACTTGGTACATTTGTGTTTCTCACAGTGCTGCTGTAGGTTATTTGATCTAAAGAAACGTATAGACGGTATGGACTAGCGATAACCTCACACCAGGCTTGCTGCAGTGCTGGCTAGAGCGCGAGGCTGGAGGGAGAGTTGTACACCTGTACGTGGGCTCGTCATTCGCTTGCTCAGCTTAGTTCGCTGTCACTTGATTTGTTTGTATGCAAGAGTCCAATGGCAGCTGCCACTTTTTAGCCTACTTTCCTTATTTTTAAAAGAAAAATTAGGCATACGTATACGATCTTCATGCTGTCTGTGTATCCCCGCCCCCAACAGTTTCTGAATGGCTGAACCAATGTTTATGATACCTGGTGTGTTAAATCATTTCAACGGCTTACTTGATAAATCCCTCCCACCAGTCTGTCCTATCGTGGCTAGTTTATTTTTATTTAATTTATTTGTGATTTGTTAAATGAAGCCACGAGTAACTCAGAATTTTTACGGTCA